ATATTGGAAGTGGATGTAATAGCAGGAGAATATTTAATTAGAATTTGTTGTCTCTGTAGGACAGATTTTCATGAAAACATGGCTTTTGGGGCTCAGTTTCCTTGATACAGCTCCACTCATCCAGTACACATGGTTACCTCTTTGCTGGGGAGTTACTCACGGCCAGCACACAGCTTTGGTACTCTGGCACTCTGTACTGTTCCATTCTTCATTCTCCCCTTGATGCAAATTTGGCTCATGCTAATTACCACAATTTCAAGGGCTGGAGAACCTAAATGCAATGAAAAAATTATCTCCTAATTTTAACAGTAGTGTGAACAATATGTAAGTATTATTCATGTTATTGTATAGCTATAATTTTTTTTCTTTGCTAATGAAAATATATTTTGTAACTATTGCTTCTAAAGGTATTGCCAGAAGTGTGTTTAATAGACTTCAAGATGAGTTTGCATTATTATTAGAGCAAGCTATTTCAATTAAAATTATGTGTCCCTTATATTCAGTATTTTATACTGATGTCCTTTCTACTAGCACTCTGAGATTTGTTGTCAGAGTTGATTTCTCCATTTGAAAAACTGAAGGCAATTTGGAAGGGGTTCTTCATTAGGGGAGAGTTTTGAAATACTACAGCTAATGGGAAGATGGGAATCTAAGAGGTATTTTAGCTAAAGCTGACTTTGCTGCATTGCCATCACTCTTGTGGACTTCCTTGGCATCAAAATCTTGCAGCAAGGAATTCTCTTGCTGCAGTATCTCACTGGAAACCAGCTAAGCAGAGGATCAACACACAAAAGTTGCATATCCTGATTGGGCTTTTGGTTTCCAAGAAGTTGATGAATTCCTAGACTTGTGAAACTCCTTGGTAAAACATCCATTCTCTTTGAATTTCACACGTTGCCTTTCTGTGTTGAGTGTCTTTATGTTGCACCAGTAGATTCCCTGCATTTGTGCCTGGAAGGTAAATGTACTTGGTGGCAGGCCACTGAGAAACTGTTTTGATTTGAGACGCCAGCAGAATTTTTAAAACAAGCCAGTAAAATGTGGATTAACATACCACAAGAGGTGTTTACTCAAGATTTTTAAACGAAGCCAAAGATGAAGTTGCTGAGTAACTCTGGGCTACTGTTCATGTTCCCCTTTTTGCCAGAGAATTTAGGGGTTACAAATAAACAATTTTGAAAATCTAACGAGGTTAATGCAGGGAATGGAGTCCCCCAGGGATCACTCTTTGGACATGTGCTCTCATACTTTCATCAGTGGTGTGGAAAAAGGGGTGAGGAGAAATAGATGACAATATGTGTTGACAGTACAGAATTCTTCAGGTCACTAAAAAAATTAGGTCTGAACAGGAAACACTGCAGAAGTTTCTCGTTGGTAGTGTGTATAATGTTGACAAAAGATCAGAAAAAAATTACGGGTCTCTAAATGAAAACCAAATAATTAATTGGAAGGGAAAATGGTCCCAAGAATGCACAAACAGCAGTGTTCTATAAATTTGCTCTTTTGCAATTGAGGAAGGATATATGTAAGCGTAAGCTTGTCACATAAGATATATGTGAGAAGGCAAATAGAATGTTAACAGTCTTTAAAAAGCAACAGAAAAGAATACAAAGCATCATTTGCAGATGTATAAATCCTTACTGTGCCCTCAAAGGGAGTATGCCATTTTAATTCGCATCCTCTGCATCTCAAAAAGGTTTTATTGATTTTTGTAGAGTGAAGAGAAAGTTGAGCATGAAAATACAGAATTTTTAAATTTATTTTTTGGAGTTTAAATCAATGTAAGGATACAGAGACTGGACTAGAATTATATAGATTAAGATTCTTCTAGGTTGTGAAGAGACAAATGGAGAGGCAGAATGTACTAAAGTATAGAAAATTGTGAGTTGTGTAATTGACTGTGTAGGAAAGCACAGCAGTCAAAGTAAACTGTCATGACACTCTCAGGTAATTTCATTATAAAAAAGGAAAGATGTTTTTACAGATGAAATGAATTACCAAAAGTCACAATTTATTTCCCCAACATTTTTAGGTTCAAAAATGATGGAGTCATAAAATCTCAAAGAATTACCAAAAGTCACAATTTATTTCCCCAACATTTTTAGGTTCAAAAATGATGAACATATTCATAGCTTTCCCCTGATGACTGTTATAAGGTGATAAGATAGTCTTAGAGTCATAAAGTCTCAAATCTACCAGTTGCTAAAGTTGAAAGGATATATATGTTTTTTAGAATCTTTGCCCAACCAATTGCTACAGTTTAAGGTATGGAGTAGAAAATGTACTGTCTACTGCAGGTGTTATTACAGGTAATAAGATATAATCCAGCAGAGCATCTGCTGTGTAATGGTGTAACTAATGATCTCTGAATTGTTTCATGCATTTGTAGGAAATCTGCTGTATTTCAGTGCCAGCAACAGTTGAATTACATCTCCCTTCACTGTATAGCTGGTGTTCTAAAGCACAGTCTCCAAATCCACCTCCTTCTTCTGAAACAAAACTGTATAACATAGAAAAAGTCAGCAGTATCGTAGTGCAGAATGACAGCCACTGCTGCACTGACCAATTCAGCCAATTTAGACTGGCTGAAATGGAACATCCACATGATGTTCAGTCAGTCACTCATATACCCCACACTTGGATCAGAAATGCTGTACAAAAACATCCCCGCTACCACTCTCCCATTCTCCAGAAGCAGCAAATCCGCTTGTTTTGATTATTCTTTCTTAAGACTCCTTACTTATTTGTGGGAATCTAGAGTTGGTTTAAATACTTTTTGTTTTCCTCGCTTTATTTTTAGACAAGGTGTCACTGTATTTTTTGTATTTGTTCTCCTGGCCTTGCACCAACTGTTCAAAGACTTGGGTTTTGTCCTTCACAGGCTGGAGAATGTGGGTCACATCTGGCTGCACATTCTTCATACTTCACTACAATCTGTGCTCGTTCCTCCCAGCTGTTTGTATTAAGGGCAGTGACAGTGGTTACCTGGTGAAATACACGTGTCATGCTGTCTGCATCAAATGGCACCTGCTTAAAGGAGAGTTCCACAACAGCAGAGTTTTGTTGTGGAAGAAGGATGTTACAGGAGCTTTCCTGTTCCTTCACCAGTAAGGTTTACAGCAATAAAGTGTTTCTTAATAAAATAAATGAACACAAACATCATAACTCTCTCCTCTGAGCTCAGGTGTATTATCCAATCATCATAGCTTCATGCCAATTGGTTCAAGAACATCAAACTACAATGCCACTTGAATTTCCACAGATGACCATAAACATGCTCTTAGCCCATGGCAAATGTAAAGTAATAGGACAGAGCTTAATCCTTTCTGAAATATTTGCTTTATCTCATTGCTGTGTGCACACAGCTGTTGTGACTCATGTGAAATTTGACTTCACCATGTATTTAACTCATACTCATAAAGTGTTTTTCATGGTAAATAGGTTGCCCTAAAAGAGCAATTAGCTTGAGGTAGGAGAGCATGTGTATAATTTCTTCAAAGGTGTTCCCTCACATGGTGAGAGCCAGTCCTGCATTCCTTCTCCCTTGCAGGTGTTTCCAAAATCTAAATATGTTTCTGTTCAGCCCAGCCAGCTTTTTTTTTCTTTTTTAGGTTTCCTTAACAGCCTTTCTATTTTCTCTTGTGCCCAACAATGCTTTTGGTTTTTTCTTCTTCTTTTTTTTTTAATTTCTTTTTCTCCTCAAAACCATTGGGGAATCCAGTGATTGGACCAGCAAGTTACAACAGAAATCTAAATCCTGTGAGGATAAAGACATTTTAATGCAATATGAAGATCAATAATATTCTGTCCTTACAAGTATAGTGAATTGGCAATTGTTCTTAATATGAATATTCTATTTCAGCTTGCTACATTACATAACTAGGTAATCTACATTTTTAGTTCATCCTTCCCACAGGCAGATATGTATTCATGGTATTTCTTCATATGCTGGCAGTTTTGCATTATGTCAAAATATATGTCTTGGGTATTTGTTTGGTTGGTTTTGGCTTTTATTAACAGGGCACTGTTTTTTTTCTGGATTATGTTTTGTTAATTTTGAATTAATTTTAATTAGCAGATTGGCTGTTACTAGACAGTAACTGTAAAGGCCATCATGTTTTCCAGAAATAAGGGAGTTACTACTCTTCTAAAGAATAGTCTGATGGGCCTATTGAATATGGCAACCAAAAAACTTGGCTTCTTTAATTTGAAAATTGAAATTTCAATATATTTTAATGACAGAATATTTTGTCCACATGCTGTTGTAAATTTCTAGAATTTGCTCACAATGGTATCACTAATTCCAAAAGGCACGGCTGTCTGTGTGTCTTTTTGGTTTTGGTTTTTTTTCTTTACTTTTCCTCTTCTCTATTTTGCCTTAAGTAGCCTAAGAATTAGGGGAGATGTTACTGAAAATAGGATTAAGAGCATTTGTGAAATCAGAACAGAAGCAGAAGGCAGGGATCATAACTATCATAACTGCTTTGGATGCTTCCTCAGGTCTGGAGGACATTGTGGTAAAGCTGCCCTGTTTTAGGCAGGATTTGTTTTATATAGGTTAGTTGCTGCAACGGGTTGGTTACACAAGACTTCCAGAAGCAGTCAGGGATAGTGTAGGTGAGCTTTTAATGCTGCCCTTCCCTTTTTATAGCTCTGTCTTGCGAGACAGAGTATTGTGGTTTCCATTTAATCACCTTTGAAATAATTGTCCAATTGCACAATGATACATAGCCCATCTTTCATAAGTTTCATATGTTTCAAAATAGACAAGGGAGTGGTGGTGAAGAGATCTGCAACTGAGGACATGAGAGGAGGGAAAATGGAAGATACTTGTGGTCAGTAGCAACAGCAGTGTTAAAGGTCCTCTTCTTCACCTGATGTATAGTGTGAGGTCTAAATGTCTCTCCTAATTAGTGAAAAATATTTGCCCCAAGGTCAAAGAGTCAAAGCTTTGATGAGATTAAATCTATTAATCAGAACTTTCTGTTCTGTTTTTTCAGAAGAATCGAGTATCAAACGGAACCCTCTACAAAAAAACATTTATTGAGCACTTTGAACAGGCACCAATGTATGTTGCAGTTTTTACTTTCGTGGGGTTTGCAGTGGGAACAATATTTGGCTACCTGCGAGATTTTATGAGAGCCTGGGGACTAGAAAAACGTAACATTGCTGCGGAGAGAGAACAACAAAAAGTATGTATGGAAAAGTCATTATGTATCCACAGCTGAGTTTTCCTCTGATTGCAAGTGATTTACAGCAATTTGTGGAAGTAACAAGGCAGACAACTTTCATTTTACAGAACGTTGCACAGGGGTGAGAGGAGTGACACACCCTGCCAGTGGAGTTGTATGCATGTGCATGATTATGTACCTACATTTATGTAAAGTCATCATTTTTACCCAGGGATGTGTTCACCTCGTTCCAAGAGTGGTGTGATACTCTCAGCAAAACAGAATCTCAGAATATTAGGTCAATCCACAGAAAAAGAAAATTCATAAATGCCTTATTGTTAAACATATCTTCTTTCCAAATCTCTTCAGTCCCAATTTTCCTTTGTCCCATCTGGCTATCTTATGCTGTCTTTCACTGTAATTTCTAATTTTATTATTGGATTCTTGTAACTCCCAAAATTTTTTCATTCCATACTGTTCCAAGTGAAACTTGCACCTTAGCAAAATCAACTTCCTTACAACTTTGTTTAAAATTTTTGGTTCCTTCTCTGTGCAGTTTGAGTCATCATTTGTGGTAACACCTGGCATAATGAAGTAAAAACATGAAGAGTTTTACTGTTTCTCTTGCAAATGAAACTCCTGAAATTGTTTCCTGTTTTAGATTTTCAAATATGCATGCAGAACTTAATGAATATCACTTTCAATTCACTTTGTGGTCTGGCCATTTGCTAATTCCAGTTGTGCCAGTTAAATTTTTTTTGTCCTTCATGATGGATTACATGTTTATTTAATTTTCCCACATGTTAACTTCATGCCATGTTATTTTGTCAGTTTATTTTATGCAGTGCCCAACAAGGATATATTGCTGTTTCATATAAAGCTTTGTTTAAATTTAATTTCCAAGTAAAATCCATGGATATTCATTAATTCTCAACCAAAAAAATTGTCTTAACTGGATGTTTGCAACTGGACCCTAGGCCAGTAATGCCCAATTCTCATATATTGGACTAGCTATTTCTTATGTATCCAGCATTTCAGGAAATGTAGTGAGTTGTTTATCCTACTTTTCTGCAATCTGCTCCACACATAGAAAAATGTTCAATTTGAAGCAATTGGTTTCTTCAAGTGAAATAATCTTGATTTTTTTCTTTTCATTTCCAACTTTCAGGATATATAGGGAGAGTTAGACCAACTTGTTTATAATTTAAAAAAAACCCCAAACCTGACCAACCAAAAAATAAACCAAAAATTCCCCAATCTTTAAACAGAAACAAAATACTCGACCCTCTAAGAAATACAACAATGTGTTTTAAAAGAATTATAGTAGTTATACAGTATTGCTGTTTGGAGTTTTAAGTGACACAGGACCATGTGGCTGCTATGGCTCTCTGTTTATTGATGAATCAGTTTTTCCTTGTTAATAGGAATGACTTGGGTACAGGAGGAGATATTTTCACAGCAACGTAACCCTGTGCATGTTTTCAAACCAGGATTTTGTGCCACTTTATCAAGATTTTGAGAACTTTTACACCAGAAACCTCTATTTGAGAATACGGGATAACTGGAATCGTCCCATTTGCAGTGTCCCTGGGCCACAGTTTGACCTCATGGAGCGCGTTACAGATGATTACAACTGGACATTTAGGTGAGTCACCTTACACTGTGCTGCTCTCAGCCTCATCAGCATCCTCCTGACACCTCTGCAAAGCACAGAAAGTTGTGTCCAGATCCTTGTCTAATATCCACCAGCATGTTTCTGCAGTCAGTACCATGCTGACAGTCTGACCATTCTGAGTATTTGTTTGGAAATGCAGTATAGGCTTCCAACTCAATTGCAGATGGGTTTGGCTGTGTCAGCACAAGGTTGCTCATACACCATTTATAACAACAGACCTTGACTCTGAATATTGCAACAAAATTTGGTTTATCCCTTGATTAGGTTTTATATCATAATTTTTTGCACTGCATGAGTGTGGCTTCTTGCCTTCATCGTGAGTCTTTGGCAGTGGGTTTTAAGCAGATTACAGCTTGAAGGTTTTGGTGTATTGCAGCTGAATGACACAGCTATGGGAATTCACAGCATAGACAATGTGTAGGTTGGCTATATTTGAGCTTATTGAGAATGTATCATATAGCGTTTCCCATATTTTCATCAAGTATAAGTTCTGTATGTGTATGAGAACACTGATGACTTAATGGAAGCAGATGACAACTTGCTTGAAAAATTAATGTCTGTAAATTGTCCTTAAATAAAGTCCTAAATCCTAAAGTTTGTTTATTTAAAACAGCCATTGATCCCATTGATCCACTGTATTGGATCTACAGTATGGCTTCTAGAAAGCACTCTGACCATGAAGCAGTACTTAGTTAGGAAAAGAGGAAGGCTAGAAAAACTTTTGGGCTGTTAGAGTATGAGGATTGTAAATTCTCAAGTAGGACTTTGACACCGGGAAAATTTTGAGATTTTTTTTCCTTTTCATTTGGGATTGGAGGGAAAATTGCATTATTGTTCAAAATTTGCTTTAATTGTAGGTTTACAGGAAGGACTATCAAGAATGTAATCAATATGGGTTCTTATAACTACCTCGGCTTTGCAGAAACAGATGTTAATGCTTTGAAAACTGTGACCAGAGAGCTAGAAAAATATGGGACAGGAGTCTGCAGTACTAGGCAAGAGATGGGTGAGTAAACAGCGAGATGGCCACCAAAGGTTCTGTAACTATGCTCTTTTTCTCACAGGTATCTTAAAAGAATTGGATACGGAGAACTTTAATCACATTCAGCAATTACTTGTTTCACAATTAAAAGGAATGCTCTTTTATTTGGTCTCACATGAGGGTTTTTTTCAAAAGGAAAACTGATTTTTGGAAAAGCTAAACCAAATGTGTCATCTACTGGCCTGGGGGTTTCAATGATGGAAATACACACACACTGAGATTTCAACAATTGTTCTGGGGCAAATTCAACTGCATCACAGATTTATATGTTACCACACACAGAGGTTTCAGATTAGTAAAATGATCTTTTACATAAAGCTTTTAATCCCATGTTCTAAGAATGTATTGGAATGTTTTATGAGATACTACTGGTACAAACCAGAAATTTCTAGTTTGCCATTAGCAAATAAATTCAGGAAGGCTCCATCTGACATTTTTGGTTTTATCTGTTATGATTGTCTGCTTTGTTAGTTTGTAGGCTGCATGCAGTGTTACCTTTCACACAAAACCTTGAATTCCTTGTGGTACAATCATCTTACATTTGAAAAAAAGAACAGTTTCAAACCAGAGAAATGCAAGGGGAGGTTTCTCCTAAGGCTTTATCTTTCTAGGGAGTATTAAAAAAAAAAAAAAAAAGGAAGGCTTCCCAGAATAGAGAAGTCTATAAAAGATTTCTTTTTTCTAATCCAGCAACCTTAAAAAATTACATTTTTATCTCCAATGTAGACTATGTTTTTCCATAAATCTTACAGAAAAAAATACTGTATTCAATTTAGGGGTTTTTTTTAATATAAAGTCTCCATTTCAGAAGAAAAAGTAATGCAAACTTTGTGATCTGCTTCTTATCTTGTCATTGTGGTTTGAGAATAATTATTCCATAAATCTTACAGAAAAAATACTGTATTCAGTTTAGGGGTTTTTTTTAATATAAAGTCTCCATTTCAGAAGAAAAAGTAATGCAGACTTTGTGATCTGCTTCTTATCTTGTCATTGTGGTTTGATTTGCCAATAATAATTGTGTCAGTGACAGCACTCAGAGAGGGTTTACAGATTGACCCTACTTTCCCTTTGTAGGTGACCCATCTGGTGACAGCAATATATTATTATTTAACCTGAATTGCATGCTTGAGAGTGGTCACCATTGCTAGTCCTTTAAGGTATTGAAGGAACTTTCTCTCTTTTTCTCCCAGATTCCATTTTGTCTAAGAACATTTCAAGTTTTTTTCAGGACATCTAGGATTATGGCTGGTGTTCCTTATTCTGTAGCTCTTGCTGAATTTTTTTACTGGGAGATTTATTCTTAAAACAAACAAACAAAAACCAAAACAAACAAACAAAAACCCCCCCAAAAAAAACAAACCACCAACCCAACTTATTAAAATATTGATTCTGTGTTCAAATATAAAAAATCTTACTAAGGAACTTCATCCTCTGTATTTGAGGGCCAATATATAGAGATTTCTAGGATAATCTATTCATCTGAACTCCTGTGCTGTACTCAAAGTTGTCTTGGCTGATTGAGCAAGTGTTTAGATTCGTTCTGATTGCCTTCACAACAGTCCCATGAACTGCATCAAGAGTATTCACAATTCAGGAATGGGCTACAGATGAAGAGCATCCTAAATGCCTTGTGAGTCTCAGTCTTTTGGAAGTGGATTTTGGAGAGCAGCTTGGACATCAAAATTTGGAATTTCCTTCCAAATTAGGAAGGAAAGCAGGGTGTTTAGGCCTGGCTGAGCTGGTGTAAATGAGCAGTCACAGCAGTTCATCCTGGACAGGTAACAGAGAGCCTGTGTTTGTGTGCTCCATGGAGAGAGGTGGCTCCACAGGGCAGGGCTGAGCAGTGGCTCCTTTGTTGGTGCTGGCTCTTTAGAGCCCATCTGTCACCAAGATCTGCATAAACAACCTAAGGAAAACAGCCTCTCATGCATAGTGGATACCCTCTTTCCTTGTTCCTTTATGTGCTCCATTCTCATCACAGTCAAACTGAAAAATTCTGAGTTAGATATATCAAAGAGAGAGACAGGGAAGGTCTGGGTGAAACATCTTGCTTTATAAATTATCATTTCTCATCTTCATCTTAGATAAAAGGAACAGGATGAGTTTGTTTCTGGGCAGATCACATTTCAAAACTATTGTTGTTGTTGTGTGTAGAGCTAGAGTGTTTTGAAGTAGAAGTGCAGTGAGCTGCAAGAGCCAAGGCTGTAAATTGCCTGTAGGGTTCTAATCCAAGAGAGCACTTGAACGTATTTATATTTTCAAGCTAATTCACTTTGAAAGTACTGCTCTGCTTGTGTGCATTGAAGTGTCTGGCATGTCTGAGTTTTACCAAGATCTCTCTCTAAGCAATGGTAGCTTTCTGAGAAGGATCGTTCCACTACTTTCAGAGGATTTCAGATAGAGGGTAAAATAAAGAGGACACAAATAAAAGTAATGTGAGTGATGTTTGAAAGAATACATGATGCTAAAACTGTCCTTTATGTCTCCTGCCTGCACTCCTCCTCTTAAAACTGTGGAGGCTGTGGAGAGGACATACAATGCTATCAGAATGCTGTTGCAGGTAGCTTCCTCTTAGAACGGGGTAAACAGGGTAGTTTCCTCTTAGAACTGATAAAAACAGTGCCTGACTTTCTTAGACTTATCCCCCATAACAAGATTTAAGTATTTTCAATCAGTTTTTAATTCCATGCTCTTCTTTATTATAATATTAATAACAATAAATTACTTTCTTACTATAACAGTGTAATTTCAGACACGTTTCTGAGGGTTTTGTGGGGCTTTCAATGTGAAATAAAAATACTTTCCCTTTTTTAAGACCAAGCTAGCTATTAGCCCTTAGGAACAAGTTTTTGTAGTTATAAGTGGTACATCCATGGAAGAATTAACTTGGTGTTCCACAATCAGAAAAAACACTAGAAATTACTAGAAAGTACACAGAAAGCCAACCATAGAGCCTCAGTACACTACTGCATAAAGCTGCTGTTTGTTGTTGTCTTGAGTATTCTGTGCAGGTCTGATCAAAAATATTTAGCAAAACTGAAAAGTGTAACAGAAGAGCCACAGGGATCATCAAAGGCCTCAGACAGCTTCTGGGTGAAGAACTACTGAGCTTGCTGTCTGCATCTGCCACAAATGCCTGTCATCTGTCTCAAAAAAAGAGCCTAAAGGGAGAAATTACAGAAATTTTCAACATAATGTGTGATGTGGAAGAGTGGTCAGGGTTCTGTCCTTTCCCACTACAGGGCATTTATGAAGCTGGTGGAAGGTTTTCACCTAAATGCTGGAGGCTGCCAGACCCATTGTTGCTGTGGAAAACACATTCATTCTCCTGTGAAAGTGTAAAAAGTTTAATAAGGGACAACAGGAGACAAGGACCATGGAGCAAAGGTTATTATGTCCGGGTGCATCCTGGCACTCAGCCAAGAGCACCCTGTTACCTTTGGGGATACCCCTTAAATACCTTTGCCCTTTCATCAGCCTGTTACACATTCATAGACCCTTATGCATATCCATGAAGTAGTTTACATATTCTGGGAACTGTTTTACATGGCTCCTCCTCAGGTCTGCCTTTTTTTTAGACCATGCGTGTTTCTTGGCTGTGGTTTTGGTTTCTCTTTATCACTTCCACTTTGGGCCTTGGTCCGCTCTGTCTTCAGACAGTGAGTGCTGATAGTTGGCAGATCTGTAGCAGGGTCCTCATCCTGTGTTCACTGGATGTTATCCCATCCAAGCAGACATTTTAGCACAAGCATAGCTATTTCACTACTATGTCTAAGCTTAATTAACAACAGAAATAAAAACTATGTCTTTATAACAAAATTATTTTAACATCACACAAAGAGCATCCATTTTGATATTTGTGAAAGGCCAGTATTACAATATGTATCCATAACACTGCAGATACCAGAACTTCACACTCCCTTGTGTTCTAAGGGACACTGCCCATGTGTGCAGAGGAGTGCTCCCTGATAGTTACTAGAAATATCCAAACTGTATCTGATTCAGGATGTCCTTATTAACTCTGAGAGATGCCAAGAGAGATCTGCACCTACTATATCTGAGAAAATTGACCATGGGTGTTATTTAAATTAAATCAGCTTTTGTTAGTAGCAGTCTCTCCTGTGGGTTCAGGAAAAGGTAATTTTTTATATTTCTTTTTTTTATATTGTTCATTATACATCAAGAAACTAACTGGGACATAAAAAGAAGCAGGAAGTTTTTAGGAATAAATGTTGGGTCTGGGAAAATTATTCTTGAATGTTGAAGGATTTAAGTAGCCATCCAGTACCTCAAAGTGGCTACAAGAGAGTTTGAGAGGGATTTTTTGCAAGGGCGTGGAGTGACAGGATAAGAGGGAATGGCTTCAAACCGACAGAGGGCAGGGTTAGATTAGATTTCAGGAAAAGATTCTTCCCTGTGGGGGTGGTGAGGCTCTGGAACAGGTTGTCCAGTGGATGCCCATTACTAGAAGTGCTCAAGGACAGGCTGGGTGGGGCTTGGAGCAACCTGATCTAGTGAAAGGTGTCCATGTCTCTGTCCAAGGTGGGGACATTGGAATGAGATGATCTTTAAGGTTCCTTCCAGCACAAACTATTCTGTGATTCATTCTATGATTCCATAAGTAACTGGACACCAACTGTTCAGCTAACTGGAGTGTTGGGAATGTTAGGGCATTCCATATAAACTGCCCCACAAAAATATCTCTGCTGTTATATGTATTTTAATTTTTCTCTCAAAAGTGTTGTATTTTTTAGCTTAATAAAACTGCCAGCACACAGGAACCTAAATAAATATGAAATAGCAAGTGTTCCCTCCATATAATAAAAAATATGAAAGAAGGACAACTTGAATGTAAAGTCCTTTTTCCCATGCAAATCAATGTATTTTAATGGCTGGAGTGTGAGTTGGCTACTGTTAAAGGTAGCCAAGATTTTTAAAGATTCAAAAGCCTTTTTTCTGAGCCC